CACTGACTTGAGACCTTAATCTTGGAGAGGCAGCTGACTGCTGATTTTTTTCTTATCTAGGGAATGCCAACAGGCTTTTTTCTGCTTGGCACAGGAAAATTTATCTACATTCAGAGGTTGTAGAAAGTTACACAGACTGCCACAGAGGAAAAGATAATACCTTCATTTAGAAGCATCAGCGAGCTACAGGGACTGCTCTCACTCCTATATTGAAAGTACTTAAATAGCCTTCAGCCAAAAAAAAAAATCTACTGTAAGCAAGTTCAGTCTCTTCAATCTTTCTATAAATTGGTTAGCCTCTGAGTTAATACTCCCAGATAACTGCAATGAAATTGAAAATGAGTTCATCTTTTGGGTGCAACTAGACTGTAGTGTAACAAAACTATACTATAAAATACAGCAGAGCTTACTAATGGTGTTTATTGAGAAGTGAGGCCAGATCACATTTCAGGACTCACAATCTTCTGTTGCAAGAGCTTCTGTGAGGCTGTCCAAGTACTATCACTGAGCAGCAGAGCCTGAAGTAGTGAGCACCGCCAGCAAAGCAGCACGATCTCTACTCTTTTCTTTCTTTTTCCCAGTTGAGCCGTTTTTTCTGCACGTTTATTTTCTGGAGATAACCCAAGGAAAAATGGGGAGAATACACAAACTCCACACGGATTACAACCCCAGGTCTGCAATTAAACCCAGGCCCTAGTGCTATGAGGCAGCAGTGCTAACCACTGCCCTGCCACGCAGAACAACAACTACTGTAACTACAGACCCAGTTCCTGTAAAGACATTCAAGACGGGTAACCGCCATACAGACAGCATTCAGAAAGATATTCCCACAACTAGGAAACACCACCTTGAAATTAAGATCATAAAGACGACCTTGAATATGGCAGCAAATTTGTATTCTGTTATTTCAGTAAAAACCCAATATAATTATCATAAGAGGTCCTTCACTCACTGATCTAGAATGTGCGATTAACAGACATTATTCAAATGTTTTGCATGCCTGACTGGTAGAATGCATTAATCAAGCTTCATTACAAGAAAACACTCAGTTGCCCATGCTATTAATTATTTGCCATTATTACTGAACATTAGTCATGTGCATTTTATGTCTTCCAATTCTAGTATCATGCCACTCCTGGTTTTATCACAACAGGCTTTTCTTTGAAAGTAGCAAAACGACACAAGGAAAGTGAATCTATATTGCACTTCATTTACACAGCACATCTTATCCTTCAAGGAAAAGATACGTTCTGTGAAAGACCATCAACAAAATGATAAAACTTTCCTCTTTTGCATAACACTTTTCCTTGTCACAGTTAGAAAAGGAGGTACAGTATCTTGTTTAGGGAAAACAAAGACAATCTTACTACAACAAAGTATTAAAAATATCACTTGTGCAGTATACCATTCCCTTTGTTAATCTGGGCACGTCACAAGTAGATGTGCATAACCTTATTTTTTATGTGTTACATTCTTTAGTTCTATGCATTTGAATATGACTTAATCCTCTTTTAATTAACATTTATTTCATTTCAGTTCAAAGTCAGGTAACTCCAATATCAAACAAAAACACTCACCACTGAAAGTGAAAAATGAGAAGCAGCCTAACCCTAGAGAAATAAGTTTTATGAAACTGTTATGCTATAAGTGCTATGATGGCCCCAGGAGCGTCCTTTTTGAGAGACATTTCCAGTTTCTAATCCAGTAGAAATCAATAAATTATTTATTGACCCAAGTATCTTAAAATACATTGTAGCCAAGGTGAGAGTCAGCGTTCTGGACAGTATAGCAAGCTCACATAAAATGTCCTGAAACAATGATATTTACAACCAAAAAAGCAATTTGAGTTAACAATATTGTTGAATTGCTTTCTTTTATGAGGGGATGTAAGCAACAGGAGAAGATTAAATCATTTTTGCGTGGAATACAATTCATTCTCCGCCCTACATTACAGTAAATTTCAGAGCAACTTTATTTACACCTCTCTGCAGTTGTATTTTCTACATGGTGGTTTCATTTATTATGTCCTGTTGAGATCTCTAAATGTCTTTAATTAAATCTTGCTACTCTGCTTTGTACAAGGTAAATACACTGTGCCAAAGAAGTAGAATTAAAGAATAAAAGATTTTCAGAGAGAAATATAATTGTCTTACAGACTATTGTATACTCTGTCTGGACAGCATGTGTGCATATTTATACTAAATGAGATAACAGTGTGCTGCCCTTGTTGTGTCAGAAAAGAAAGTTCGGCTTTGGTTGCCTTGGGGTGCAATGTCTCCAGAATTCTGCCTTGACTAAAGCTGTAACACACGGAACTGGTGCTGACATAGAAAGAAAGACAAGACTGCTATTTTTTACAGCTAAAATACCTTCCATAGAGTGCCAATCATCTCATGAGGCAATGAACATGTACCAATGAAGCCATTATCTATCTCCATTAAAATAAATGAGCTGCACAGCACTGGGGGAAGGAAAAACCTCATTTAACTGAAAGGAAACCTCCGGGAGTCCATGGCTGAGACCTACCCAATCCTCCAGGGTTAAAACACGTACAAAAGCACACACAACAAAAATAAACCTGGGAGAGCAGGGCAACAAACCACACACAACAGATAGGAACCAAGAGTCCAGGGAAACAGGACAAAAACCCAGGAACAAAACATAGAAAAACACCACACACAGGGCAAAAAAAAACGCTTAACATTCTGTCATGCATGCGGGGAGAGACTTCTCGTGGAAAGCCAGGTATTCGTATGCAAATGTCGGAAAGGCATACCGCTGATTGACCCGCTCACAGGCACGTATGACGGGAGGTGGCATCCCGCGACTAGAATAGGAGAACTGAAAAAAAAGCCCACAACGATGCGCGAAAAACAAAAAACGCCGCTCGCGGGGTCAAATTATGGCTCAGCATTCCATCACAGATGTCAGAAAGGGCATGCAGTGGAATGGCAGGAGAGCAAAAAAGACCTGTGCCCCCAGGCCGCGGAGGAGACGACCTGGTGCTAGGCGGGTCTCAAGACATCCGAAGCCTCAATGCTGAGCGAGGAGGAAATATATATATTTCCGCTGAACGGGAAAGCAAAGCACAGAGAAACTAGTAACACGACAGAGTAGGAGCTCCCACTAGCTGTAGAAGGTGTGACATCCCCAATAATTTAGTAATCAACTTACAGTATTACAACCTGTCACCTGTTAGAGACAGGTTGGCTGCTACCACAGTCCCTTGATATACCCACCACATCCACATATCCTGAAGCCTCCAAGACACTTCACTTGCATTTCTGTTTGCAACCAATTCATAATTAGCATAATTCACCATGCTCATATTTCTGTCTATTCAAACCAAATTGCTGATTTGCTCTCTCGTGTACAGTACGATTTCAAAAATTCAGAACCTAAGGACCAGAAGCACACACAAAGCCAGAGAGCACCAAAGCCAATTCCTCCCCCTTCAGAATTCAGATTCCAGTAACTCGTCCACTGTATCTCATCCATCACTTGCTCTCAAAATGCTATGGTTCAGAGCCTGACGCCCTGAACCCCCCAGTCTTATTGATCAGCCTGGAAATGTTACCAACGCTTTTATCAGACTTTACATTCCCTTTCCTGCCTTTCACATACTAACCACATATTCATTCATATCTCTTTTTCACTATAACTAAATATGGAGACCATCAATGCATAGTTATCTGGTGTCCCTTTCATCCACATCCTGCTTTGCCTTAGCACATTGCTAAAGTCAAAAAGAAGAATTAGCTCTACCATCTAAATGATTGGTGATTTCTGTAAAAAATGTAACCTGTTGCATCTCTTTCCTTCAAAAAAGCCACTATACCTCATTACTATTATCAGTACAACATTTTATAAATACTGGAATTTCTCCAATCCTTTCTCCTTTTTTAGAATTTAAACTTTTATTTAAATATAAAGTTTAAGGCTTTAAACTTTTATCATCTTTGTTTTTTTGCAGTACCAAGGCTTCATCATTTCCTATTTAGCGAATAAGGTATAGCTTATTAATACTGTATATGACAATGTTAAAAGAAACAGGCTTGACTTATTTTAAACTGGTTAGTTTCTTCTTCCTCAGTGAAATTGCCTTTCATTTGTTGCAGTCAGGAATGAAGCACTTATCCTAGTGCACTTTAAAAATGTACCTAATATATTTTGGAATAATTATGGGCATGAAAAGGATAGCTGAATTTTGATTAGCACTGTGTTCTGGACTGATGAACCACAGCAGCTAGCTCTTCTTACATAATTATAAGAACTACACAGCATGAGTATTCTTTGCTTTGGTATAGAAGGCAATGGAAACAGCCAAGAATTTATTCTAAAACGGGCTTTAATGCAGTCTCAAAGCTGAAAATGAAGGTGCCTTTTTGTTCCTGATTTTGTATTGCTAGGATAGATACAGTAATTGCTGAAAAACAGGCAATTTACTTTGAGATATCCTCTGCCGTCATTAGCTTCAGTAATATCGAGACCTAGTTTACATCAAAACAACAACCCACCCGCTACTGGCAGAATCTGTGTTCAATATTAGACAGCAGCTTTCCACTGGATAGGTATTGGGTTTTAACAAACAAAGCTAAGCTAACAACAAGCAAGGTAATCTGGGACTGGTGGTATCTGATGGGCAGCACGGTGGTGCAGTGGTTAGCATTGTAAGGAGCACTAAGGCTCTGTGTTCCATTCCGGACCTCGGATGCTATCTGCATGAAGTTTGCATGTTCTCCCCTGCTCATGTGGGTTTCCTCCAGGTGCTCTAGTTTCCCACCACAGTCCAAACTCATCCAGGGTGTATCCTGACTTGCGCCCATGGCTTGCCAGGACAGACTCCGGCTCCCCTGTGACCAGAAACTGGATGAAGAGGTTAGAAAATGGATGGAGGGTAGGCTGATATTAGGCCAATATTTAAGGAGATTCCAGGACTAAGGAGATAAAGAAGCTGGTGTAGTGGTGAGATTACTGTATGTGAAGGGACTGGATCTTACCGCCAGCTCATCCTCACGGCTGTCACTTGTATCATCGGTTTTCCTGTGATTGGACAGCGAATGGGAGTCTCTCTTTCGAGTGGTGTCAGTCCCCTCATTCAGCTTTTCACCATCTGAAGAGAAAAATCAGAGGAACACCGTCAATGGTCGCTATAGCTCCTGTTTTGATGCTCTGCCAATGGAGATCAATCTCAAGTTTTGCAACCAAATGAAGTTTTCACTCTTGAACCAAGTAGGAATTCGTTTCAGTTGAAAAGTTTCACTGACAAGTAAATTACTCAGCCTACATTAGCAAATTCTCATTTTTCAACATAGGGAACTGTTTCTGTAAGGGACCATTAGCCCAGCTGTGGGGCAACTCAGTATGTTTATAGTTGCAATATTAAACGCGCCACTACCTCTATGTGATACAAACTACTGAACCAACTGTTGAAATGACTTAATCTTGTAAGCAGGCCATGGAAAAGAAAATGCCTCTATAATGCATTACTCAAATACCATTTTACAACATGATTTTTTTTTTCTCAAGCTGGTTTCCTAAATACACACTTCTACAGTATATCAAAAGGTTTTATACATACAAATATTCTTATTTCTTTCTACTTGTTTTAGCAATGAACTGAGAATGTCAGAATTTGACATGAGTGGAATACGATATTTAATACTGACCAGTATCTGTACCACTATTAAAATATAATAATTACACCAAAAAAAATGTCACAAATGACTTGTTTTCTCCTGGCTAGATAACATTTCTTTGTACTGCCAATTTGGAAATACTACACTGAACCACTGAAAAGACACATTTCTGTTTGACTGCTCATTACTCACTAGAACTATATCACTATGGGTCCTTATAAATCATAAAAGAGAAAGCATTCCTCCAGACTCTTCACCTTTTCTCACCATAAAGTCATATGTCCATATGTCCATAACCTCTGTGGTTGAAAACCAGATAGACCCAGAGGATCAGAGTCAAATCAGACCAAGGATGATCTGCCACAGAGCAAAAGTACAGGAGAATGACATCTGGTGTAAACTATCCCACAAATGGATTAGGGAAAAATATTTTTTAATACCTCAGATCTACGGAATGACGTTTGTTTGCTATATAATACATGTTGCTTTTAGACTGTCTGCCAACACATTAGGAATCTTGACAGATGGAGGATTATTTGGTAAAATACACCAAGATGGAAGGCAAACATTCTGTACTCTACAAACATGGGTGATGGATAAGCAGAGCTGACTCAAAGGCTTTCTGTCTCACATCTGTACTCATTCTGTGTGCTGTTTTTACCACTTCACCGATACCTTTGTGCTGAAAATGATACTGCAAGGGCACACATGTGGTTGTCATACCTGGCAGAAGGACAGAAACACAGATGTTGCTGTTCTTTGTCCAGCATTATCTTTTGTGTTGCAAGAAAAAAGACAGATAACCAACCCAATATGCAAAGGAATAATGAACATCCTGAAAGCCATATGCTTTCATAACTGAAATGGGAAGAATGCGTTAGACAGACACAAGGGAAGGCAAATGAAGACAATGGGTAGAAAATGAAACTACATTTATAAGCTGAAGTGGAGATTATGGTTGAAAGAGACCTTTTAATATATTAAACACATATAGCTATATAGCCAGTATGTTCAGGCAGAAAAAGTACAGCTCATAAATGCACAAATACTAATATCCCTACAGAATACAGTGGTTCTAATACAAATTAATGTGTTAATTCCACTAGTCCAAACTCCAAGAGTAAGCTCAAGGCTCTGCGTGTGCTGGATTTATTTTTATGCTTTTCAGTTCATGGGGCTTTAGTTTTTTACACACAGCCTTCATATATGTAATAATCAGGCAATGCTTACAAATCCTGGTTGTGATTAAAAGTAAGCTACATGGATCCTATAAAACATAATTAGATGTGATTGTTATTCAATAAATGTACTAAATGGTAAAATGGTAGGCTTTATATGAGCTTGGTTATGAGACAGAGCTCTCAAAGTCCCTTAGGGTCTTTAGAAAGCAACTTGGTGGGAAAAGAGAAAAGGAATAAAATATCTTGCAATCATTATCACATTGCAGAACTAGGCCTCAAACGAATAAGACAGTTTTCTCCTATAAAACCTTACTATTTTCCTGTACAAATCTTTTGTAAATGTGGTGTACTTTCATTTAATTTCCATCTGGCTAATGAGTTTGGAATTGAACTCCAGTTCAGCATGTTTTGTGTTTGTGTTGCTAAATCACAGTAGAAAAAGCCATAAACTCTCTTCTTTATGTGTTCCTCAGGGAATCGCAAATCTGGAAAGATGCCTTTTTGTGCAGAATTAAGGTATACCGTCCAACTGGTGATATTAGATCAGGAAAGCCAGAATGCCAATAAAGAACAGATTAAGAGAAAAAAAAATCGACTTTGTTGTACTACTGTATATTCAAAGGTGCTGGCAAACAGAAAACTGCGTTGCATGAGTTGCAAAGTTCTCGTTACTGATATTATTGGAATGAGTACATAAATATACAGTATAACTAAAAATAAATTCTATATTTTGTCAAGGGCAGTAGCATGGTGTTTTCCAAAGCACCAAACATATAAGGCATATAAATGATAACTTACTTTCTGTAAATAACTGACAAAAGGCAAAATGTTGTTTTTTTAAAACAGCAGGACAATGGGAAAATTAATTATTCAACTCCAGTCAAAGCTGTCATTTAGTTTTTACAAAGAGTTGTGAAAACAGAAAAACCCGCCAGGTACCCCAAGTGAACAATGTGAAATCTCCAGCTGCGCCCACAACACAAGGAACTCGGATGTCTGCAAGTATCAGCAAAGATTAATTGAGTCAGTTTTCTGTCGCTGAAACTTGATCTCACTTAGCATCTCTTAGTATGCTTGCTCCCCAGTGAAAATAATGAAATGGCACAGTTTGACATCATCACAAGGCTTACACGTCAAGAGAAGGCAAGCAAAACCCAAACTGCAGCTGAGGATCAGAAACAGCTGTGCTATTCAAACAGTTCTGGGGGGACTCTTCTCACACTGTAGGAAATAGAAGTATTAAATTCAAAAGAATACTTAAATATTTCCATCTGTTGTTTAAACGTTTGAGGACAGGTGGTCCTGAATATAGTACAAAAGTTTACCTTTGGACTACTGCATTGTTTACCAACAGATCTGGGCTTTTATTGCTGAAACATATAGGTTTTGAGCATCTAGCATAGTTCAAATGGACACTAAAGATCATATCCAAGCTCATAGGAAAGATGCTCTTGACTGCTCACCAACAACCGATATTATATTTTTGTCAGTAAATTAAGAGATTTCATTTCTAAAGAGATGGCTTGGGTTAGTGATGCAATACACTATCTTAATAATATGCAATGATTCCAATCGTTACATCTTTCAAATTCTATTCCATCTCCCATAATAGGACTAAAAAGGACTGAAAAATGTAAAAGAGAGAGCATCTAACCCAGACTATAAGAAAACTGAATTCAGTTAAATAATTAAGGACCTAATATTAAGAAAAATCTTCTACTGAAGGGATTATAAAAGCTAAGGCTAACTAGAGAGAGGATGTTTTAACTCACTACTCAAATAAACAAAAATTCCTTAGAAGTGAACTATTTTGTGAGTGCATCGATACCTACAACATTGCAATGTATCCCTGTTCATCAGGTAAAGCAGTCTTATGATCCCAATAATCCCAATGACCAGAACTATTCAATAGTTACCCTTTCTAATTGATTCTTTTAGCAGACTTTCTTGCAGGAGATGTCTTAAATATTTAATTAAGTGGTATTTGGTTCATTTAAATAATTTCAGGTAAGTGGCTGTAACAAAGATCAGAAACAGAATGGTTTGGGAATAAATCAAAACGTCTGCTGCTACTTGCAAATTAATTACTGTAAAGCGCTTTGAGTGGAGTGTCCAGAAAAGCGCTATATAAGTGTTAGCAATTATTATTATTACTATACTCTCCTACTCTTTACTGCTTTTATTTGTCAAATTCATCTAGTGGTCAGTCTATAGAGGTAAAGTAATGCTGTACCAATTGAGGGGGCTCTATTGTGCACTTTTTGGATGATTAAAAAACTGGGGTCTTAAATTTCACTTCATGTGTAAGGATATGATA